TTTGACATACTTGGGAGTTGGAATGACTGGATGGGGGATGGTGGAGGATGACTGGCACACTTGTATAGTATGTAATGTGGTGTACATATATTTATATGGTTGCGGCTCAAATAAAGTTTAATTCCAACACAGTACAGATTATTTGGGTCCTGGAGCCATTGTCACATGTGAGCAAATGGAGGCTTGGAGCAGGAAAGAGGTCCTGGCTGGTTGAGTCTGAACTGGCCTGCTCCTGTGTGGGCAACGGCTTTCTCTTTTAAGCAACAACAATAAACAAGAGGTGTTTATCGTCACCAATAAACAACCCACCAAGAGGTACATTGGTTTGTGAACTTCTTTTTGGCACTAGAGACACTTTAAGTGCTGTTTTTAGGGTATCCCAATAATTGACCATCAAATTCAAAGATCAGAGCTAAAGGCAAGCTAGAATAGTATCGCCATCGTTTTCTGATGGGATTTTTACTTTGTTTCATATTTTTTTACACCATGTAGTGGAAGCCACCTCAGAGAGCCTTCAGTTTGAACTTTTATCTGTCTGCTCCTGGACAATCCTTTTTTTTTACAGGAAGGAGGAGAGGCTATGAGAGGGAAAAGAATGAAATAATTACAGTTAATCTTCTCAACTCCTGCGAGGTGTGTGTGTGTGCACAGGTGTGCGCATGCGTGCATTTGTGTCTGTGTCTTCCTCACTGGTATTTCCTAGCTCAGTAAACCATATCACTTGCACAAGCCAGAAACCCGGGAAATCCCTGTGATGATTCTTTCTCCTTAATTCTCACAGCCAGTCGATCACTAAGTCGTATTAATTGATCCTCCTAAATATTTCCCCAGTCTGTTCATTTCCTTCCATCTTTTTGGCACCCATCCTAGTCCAGGTCACCATGATCTCTCCTCCAGATCACTGAGGAAGCCTTGCTCCTGATCAGCCTGCCTCCATTCTTGAAGTTTGATTGGGTTATTTTCCTGCTTCAAGGCCTTCACATTGGTCCTAGAATGAAGACCAAAGCCCTCTGCACAGCTTAGGCATTCCCGGCTGGACCCAGCTTGGTAGCCCAGCTCACCTTGCCCACTTCTTCCCCTTGTGTCTGCCCTCCAGGCACATCATCCTTGGTTCTTTAGTCTTACCCAGGGCACAAATTCACAAAGGCACAGTCCCTTGGGAAGGACTGCCTACAGATCCATCTAATGGGAGTGCTTGGCTGTGGGGACAAGTGTGACTGAAATCCACCCTGTCCAGCTAGCTGTGTGACCTGGACAGGGTGAATCTCAGAACACCCTGAGCCACATCGACTGAGAGGGGCCTTTTCCTGATTTATACAATGGTGTTATATGGGATAATGGGAACTCTCAGTGCCAATGTCCCTTCCCATTTCAGAGCCTTTTGCTGTCTACTCTCCCTGAAGGGCCCTCACTTAACTCATGCTCATGGTTTAAATCTCAACTCAGAGATCCCTTCCTTTAGAAAGTCTTTCTAATCCTCAAACCAGATTCCTCCCATGGTCACCCGTAGGCCCCCTCCACAGCCTCCTCGACTGTTTCTTCAAAGTACACAGCTTGCAACTATGTCATGATAGGAGTCATTATTTAACTAATGCCTACTGTCTAGACTATAAGGTTCTGGAGAACAAAGACTGTACATATTTTATTTGTGTCTATTGCTCCAAGCATCTAAAACAATACAAGACACACCAGGCACTCAATAAATACTTGTCAAGTGAAGAATGAATCTTTTGCATAGCATTTCCCTTGTAAACTCTCACTATAATTTCACAGTCTTTGCAAGACTCATACTTTCCTTATTCAGTCCTGGTCAGTACAGCTCTCCCTGGCTGTTCCTCCACTTACATCTCACACGGTGGGGAGGAAAGTCCTCTGTACCATCAGCGTACATCTGTGGCAGTGTCTAGAACCTCTTGTTCCCTTATATGCACATGGCTTTCCCCTCTGTCAAAACCAAGCCCCAAATTCACCTCCTTTGGGGAGGTCTCCAAGTTCAATTTTCCCTCAAGTCATCACTTCTTCCCTCCTTCCTTTAGAACTAGATTTGCACTGGGAAGACAGGAATTCGTTCTCATGCAGATGCTGTGTTGAGAACATTTATCCTTTTTTCATGTTCCTGAGCTGTCTTCATTTCCTTTGTACTCTTAGCATGTTTTGTCCTCTACAGGTATCTTCTGACTGCTTACCTATGCATATTCTCAGTCTGGGCACCGGCTTTTTACTTCACCTGCAACACGCTTCTCTACTCATTCACTCTTACCCTCTTTGAACACCCTTCAAGAAGCAGATTGGCCTGCAAAAACCCTCTTCTGGTCATTTCTATGTATGTTTGTGTGCATTTTTTGTATTTTTTTTCCTTTTTTCACTCATTCATTATAAACATATAGTCCTCCTTCTTCTCCAGTAGAATCTGAGACAGCTTATAAGGTTGAGTAATAAATCAAGATAGTATAAGTTAGAACTAAGTGGGCAAGAAAAGGAAAAGCAAAGGGAAGGGGCATCAACTGGTACAAGTCTGAAGCTTGTGCTCCTGTGTATTCCAGACAGTCTGTGCCTCAGCAGAACTTGGACCCTGAATTGGCTTGGGGCCAGCTAGCAGTTGCCTCATAAAGAGAACAAATTTACAGCATCTCTAAAATAAAAATGCAAAGTAATGATCAGGAGAAGAACAACTAATCCTGATTCTAAGAGGCCACAGTGTGCAGAGATGAGTGTGGATCTCAGACTGCCTGGGTGTGGAGTTGGGGGATGAGCCCAAGTTGGGCGTCAGTGTGTTCACTCCAGGACACCGCCCTGAGGTTCTCAACACGGGTGCATACTAGGATCACCAGGGAAGCCTTTTGAAAACACTGTTCAGAGGTCCACCTCAGACCAATTCAACAAGAATCTCTGGGAGTGGGACTAGGAAGCTCTATTTTTTATTTTGCAGCCTAAGTTGAGATTTACCAATTTAGAAGAGTGGACAGTCTGTGACTCTGGCCCGTGCTCTTCCAGCTAAACTTCTAAAACTCTTTACGCCTTGTCTCCTAAAGATCTTTATACATAGTTATATAAAGATCAAGTTCTTTTACTTGACTCACTCCTCGATGCTAGCAACAGTATCTTATTCATTTTATATCCCAGCAACTTGCACAGTGCCTGGCACATAGTAACACTGAAAGAATTTTACACACACACACACACACACACACACACACGTTTACAATTTATATAACAGGTGATATATTAAAAATTACATATAATTATGACATAATTGTATACTATACATTATATATTAATAAAATAATATATACCTCATTCAGTCTTACTATGCATGTATATATGTTTTTGTTTTGTTTTGTTTTGTTGAGATGGAGGCTCACTCTGTCACCCAAGCTGGAGTGCAGTGGCGCAATCTCGGCTCACTGCAAGCTCCACCTCCCAGGTTCATGCCATTCTCCTGCCTCAGCCTCCTGAGTAGCTGGGACTACAGGTGCCCGCCACCACACCTGGCTAATTTTTTGTATTTTTGGTAGAGATGGGGTTTCATCATGTTAGCCAGGATGGTCTCGATATCCTGACCTAGTGATTCACCCACCTTGGCCTCCCAAAGTGCTGGGATTACAGGCATGAGCCACCGCACCCGGCCACATGTGTATATAAATACATTCATACATATACACAGGTACACACACATATTTGTTGGTGTGTATAAAATTATATACAAAAACATACAAAAAACTAAACCCCAGCAAAAGATGAAACAAAAATGAACAAAATCACAAAAATAAATAACAAAAAATAGCTGACTATCTCTCAGGGTAATTTTATCCAAATGTTATCACCTGAACAAGTTTTCAGATCGACATGTATATATTAGTCAATATAATTTGCTTTTGTATTCCATTTTCATTCCCAAACATCAGCACAGGAAACAGTTAAGTTTAATCATTGCTTAGAAAAACTCAATCTGTAATCCAAAGTACACAAAATAACGTTTTTGACTTATTTTTATCAGCTATAGAATGTTATCTAGTGGTTTGCATCCTGTAGAGGCTTCATAAGGGATGTAAACTATCAACTTCAGGAATATAACAGTTTGAATTTTATTTATTCCTTTTACAAACACAGGTCTGAACATTTGGGATTCATTTTGGAGACCCTTGATAAAATCTATGAACCCGATCTTCCGGAAAACACACATTCATACATATGCTCCCAAATCTGCATATAATTTCATGGGTTTGTGCACCTTCCTCAGGCCAGGTTGTGGCAGGACACCTGTGTCCTCTACCAAAGGCCACAACTCATGTGGGTGGCTCTTGCCACACTGCTGTCCTCCCTGGGTTCTGGTAATTGCCCCGCTTCAGCCCTCTCAGTTCAGGGCTGGTAACAGTTGTTTCCAGCTGCATCATCCCTTGTTGCTCCCTAAATCCTCCCCACCCCTTGTAAACAGTCCCTTCAGTAAGTTCTCTCAGTTCCCTGTTTAATTATGCCATCTGGTTCCTGCTGAGACTCAGTAATACAACCTCCAAAATACATCTGGGGACCTAAACCATTTTGAAAATCACTGACTTAAGGAACTGAAGTCATTCTATATGAAGATCTTTCAATTATACATTTTTTTAAAATTGCAAAACAGAAGCTAATTCTTTTTTAACTGGTAAAATACTTTTAAAAATATAATCTTCTGTACAAGAATGCATTCTTTTATTTGGAGATTCTCACGAACTCTCCAGGGCCTGCAGCTTGAGAAACATGGTGCTCAACTTATTTTCCTGGCTGGCTGCTGGGCATCACATGTATGATAGAATTGAAAACTTGCGTAAAAGATAGATTAATGGCCTCTATTTTTTGCCTCCAAGCTACAAGTCCTGTCATCCCGTCATGGAAGGAAATTAAAATTGTCTGATACATACTGAGTTTCATAAAGCCGCACTGTTCCTCTCCAGGATCCTGTGTGCCTCTAGATGTCTATACCATAAATAGATTTTTTTTTTTTTGAGGATTTGATCAACAATCTTCACCTCAGGGTTGGAGCTATGTAAATTAATCTTTAATTGTTAAGATCTCCCTTTGTTCCTTTTAAAAATACATGAATTATACATGTTTTTTCTTTCCCAATCCTCCAGGACTTTCTCCATCTTTTAATGATCCTAAGACTATAGCCAGTGACTCTGCAAACCACTGTCTCCTAAAATGAATAACTGGAAAAACTTACCATTTGCAATCTGCTTCATTATTCACTTCTCAATGATTTTCTCAATTTCTGATTTGTTTTCTCACTCTTCCCAAACAGAAGTCATTCAATCTAGAATCAATTTAACATTCGTTTTTCTAAAAAACTGAGCATAGCATTTTTCACTTGAGAACAAAAGCTGTTAAACCACTTTTTCCCCTCGAAGCATTAAGCTTGATTTAAATATTATTTTTATTAGTATAAAGTAGTTTAGAAATTCATTAGGCAAACAACCTAGACCAGTATATTTTGCACAGGACTGGCCTAGAATTGCCCTACCAAAAAATAGTAATTTAAGGTTGTGTCTATTTTTCTAAATTTCTAATATTTCTTGGAAAAGCTGTACCATCTATTGTAGCTTAATTGTTAACACTGTGAAGCACTGTGGATGTTCCAGGGTTACAGACATTATCTGGGTCATTGGATTTTGCCCATTCCTTGTTAAAACAGGAAGATGGATCTTTAAAAATCTAGATGCTTTTCATATCCAAATCAACTTTTTTCATTTGAGATCAAGTTTGTACATTTCCTACCAGCATTCCAACCAACAAAAACCAATGAGGAGATGAAATAAAATGTCACCCAGGTTCCACTTCCTCTAGGTAAATGATCAGCAGTGACCATGAGTCCTCTACTCAGATCTGTGTTCTACACTTCATGGTCCTACCTTCAGCGCTATCTTCTTCCTTCCCCTAGGACCTCAGAGGACTCACCTCTTAAAGAGCCAGTCCCACTGTTGGTTTAAGGCTGCAATGCTATGAACTCACTCCAAGTAAACAAGCAAATGACAGAACAAATATATTTATAAGGAATCTACTTTGGGTAAGTCACAAGGCTAGGTGTTATGAGAGAACAAGATGCAGCCAGCTCTGTTAAGCAATTTGCAACCTAATAAGTTCAAGGCACTAAGACAAATGTGCGAATGACTAGGACTCAAAGGATAATCTGATAGACTCCAAAACAGAGGTAGAAATACAAGTGTTTTGAGAGGTTAAACCAAGAAAATGATACTACGGAGCTGAGAGGGTTTGAAAGGGTTTTTGGCTAAGGTGGATATTCGAAATGAGCTTTACTTAAGGGTATTTTGATAGAGGTTCTAGGGGAGGTGTTGTCACTAAAAGGAAAAGCATTAAGAAAAATGAGGAAAATACAGGACATATGACTAGAATGGTGAAGATTCCTGGTTGGCTGAATCTGGAAGTGTATTTTGGGAGTCTATTAGGTAGGGTCCTAAAAGTCAGCTTAAGAAGATTGGATGGTATTAGCCAGGCAATGGGAAGTTGTTAAAAAGTGTAAAAGCACTGGTTCTTTTTCAGATAAAGATCACTAACAAGAACACCTGGATGTAGATGACCACTACTTGACCGGCTACATTTCACAATTTCCAAGGTGGTGGTGGGTGATCGGGGGAGATAGATTAAAGATAAGATGAGGCCTCCAAAGACACTATTTGCTTGTCAGATTAGTCAGTTTCCTTACTTGTGAAGGTCAGTGGCTTCAGATTTTTACCTAAAAAGTCAAGCCGCTTACATATTTCAGAATAAAAATTGCCTTTTCATGTGAAAGATCATGTGCTTCCAAAATCTTCTTATGTTAAAAGGCTAAGGAGAGTTCAAATATGACAGAGCCTGAGCAGAGGCTGTGGAAGACAGTGGCACTGAAATGACTGATGAGTGAGAGATGTCAGTGAAGATCTCAGCATCTATGCAGATAAAACCTTTTATGGTTTTGCGGCTAATAAAAAATTAGCTTTTCCAAAAAAATGTATAAAATTTGATTCATTAAAAAGTAAAGTCTCAGTGAAATTCTGATACATGCTGTAACATGGATAAACCTCAGGATATTATGCTAAATGAAATACTACACACATACAGATAAATACTGTGCGATTTTACTTGTATGAGGTACTTAGACAAATTCACAGAGAAAGAAAGTAGGAAACTGGTTACCGGGGCTGAGAAAAAGAGGAAGTGGGATTCATGGTTTTATGAGCACAGAGTTTCAGTTTGGGATGATGAAAAAGTTCTGAAGATGGATAATGGTGATAGTTGCACAGTAATGTGAATGTACTTAATGCTACTGAATTGTACATGCAAAAGGGTTAAAATGATAAATGTTATGTAAGTTTCACTATTATAAAAAAGTAAAGGCTCAGTGAGGTCTATTTTGTGTTTTTTTATACCAAATTCTAATTTACTAATTTTATTAGTTTACTCATTGCTGATACTCATGCCTGCAGGTTGCTATTTCTATGTGGGCTTCTCTGATCTACAGGACTAGTTAAATGGCTTTAAGAAGGTTCTGTGGTGAGTGATGAGTCACAGCAAAGGAGTTGAGTGTCGTAATTGCTACCAGCAGGGAGACTGTGTAGCCTGATGTTCTTATCTCCAATATAAGACTGTATCTGCCAAGAAGTCCTAAATCTTTGAATCAGGCAGTTCAGGCATTCTTGCTCCAGATAGCATAGCTGACTGAAGTTATTTTTTAAAACAATTTGTCAGACTCAGGAATGCAGTGAGAAGATATGACTGACACATCAATAGCTATCAGAGAGAATGATTAAATCTAAAATACTAGAGAGAAGAGAAGAAGGTAGACACACCAGGGAATATTTCTACAGGATCAAAGTCTGTGAGTTTAAAATGGAATTTTCCTGCATCAATCCAATAGGCATTACCCTGGGTATAAATACTCTGGTGTCTCATTAACAGAAGAACAACTAATAAGGTAATTTATCTTTTCAGGTTGTCATAGCATACATGGGACCCTGTGGGATCAAAATATGTTGTTAGAGAAAGAAATGAATTATCATGAAGTGGAGGGAAATAATAAGAAAAAATGAAAGGAAATATTGAGAGGGAAGGGAGACTAGTAAGCAAGGAGGACAGTTGTGGAAGGATATTATGAGAAGAAGTTTACTGGGGGTTTTGCAAGAGGGAGAGCTATTATACCCCAAAGCATCGAGAACATCTACAAAGCCTGCATGAAATATTTTGGGAAGAGAATCAAAACATGCTAGAAAAAAAGAGAAAACTTAAAGCCAGGTTTGTGACCTGAACTTACAGCTGATACCAAACATGAAGGCTAAGGTTTAAAGCTCATGTAGACATGAAGCCTCATGTCAGGTGAGGTGGATATTGGAACTAAGACCCAGCTGAAGAAATCTTCCCACCTACACAGGAGATTCTAGTGAATCTAGTTTGTCTCTGTTTAACAAGGCAATGGGAAAAAACACACAATTCCCTAAGAAAGTCAAACTCCATGCCTGAGTCTGGCTTAAAATTTGAATTTATGTTTCAGGAACTCCCATTTTAAAAGATATACAGAAAATTGGGTCATGGAACAGAGATGCCCCTGGTACTTCTGGCATAATAAATGCAAAACCACCTGGGGAAGCAGACACACCCAGGTGACACAAGATTCTCACAAAATAGCCAGCCTTGTTGAAGAAAAGCTCATGATAGAAAGTCACAGAATAAGCGAGTAACAATATTTGTATGAGGCACAGTCAACAGGAGGATTAGACCCAAGAATGTGACTAGAATTGGGCCTTAGAAAGCAACTGCCATAGAATAGCTTTAAAATCTCAAAGCTACACCAGAAGTAATTAAAACACAAGAATAAAAAATGTGAAAAGACATGTGAGGATCATGGCGGACGGGAGGCAGGACTAGATTGCAGCTCCATCTCGGACAGAACTGTGTGTGGAGGCTTGCATCGTGAATTTTTGCTCCACAACGGCTGCGGGAATAAATCAGGAAACTTGAGAGGACCCACAGACCCCCTGAAGAAAGCAGATTGCTCCTGCAGGGTCTGGGGGACAACCCAAATACTCTGAGTGCCCAAACTGGAAGTGGGAAAGGGAGACTGTCTGCCCCAAAACACACCTCCCTCGAAGGCCTAGGTTATGGGAGAAGATTTTGACCTTACCTGGAGCTGAGTCAATTTAGAAAGCCGAGTGAAATACAGGGGTAGAGGAAGCAGTGGGAAAAGCCCTGGGAGCTCGCTGGGTCCCCTGGCAAGCTGTTTTTGCCTGGCCTCACAGGGGCGCTTTGGAAGGATAGCCAAAGGTGCTGGGAAAAGGCCACAGGGAGAAGGAAATCTCCAGCTGAATTTTGTAACAATTTGAACTGATGGAGAAGCCTCCTGGCCAGTCGCTCCTCCCTTGGGGGAGGGGGTCAATCCGACGTGCTGACTCCACAGGTGGGGGAAGAAGGAAAGCCATATTTGCTTTTGCAGCTGGGAGGCAGGTAGTCTGGGGCAAGTTCTCAGCCCAGGTAGCTGAAGACAAAAGCGTATACTCTTGGAGTTCTGAGGCCCTGCCCACCACCTGTTCCTCCCCATACTATCATAGCTGATGCTCTCTGGAAAGCACTACCTCACGGCCAGAGGCCAAACAGCACAAAAATAGTGCATTTAACCACTGAAGCTAAGAACCCTCACAGAGTCCATTTCACCCCTCTGCCAACTCCACTGGAACAGGTTGTTACATATGAGTTCTAAATTTCCTTTCAAAGAATCAATATGTCAGTATGTTCAATTCTTTACCGTCTACTTTTAAACTTAACTTCCTCATAAAGCAAACTTTTTCCATTACCTGCTCCACCCTGACTCATTTCAATCACCTGCTCCACCCTGACTCATTCTGATTACCCGCTCTGTCATAACCATTTTTCCTGCCAAAACACTCACCCCCCCCCTTACTCTCTTTAAATTAGCCAATCGGAATTTAGTTTAGTCTGTGCAGTCTAACCCTAGCCAGTAGGGGAATGACACAGCAGCATGGGCCACCTGCATCAGGGATACGAACCCTTTCCCCTCCCTTGTCCAAGTGTGTGCTCACCATTCCTTCATCTGTAAGGGCACACCCTTCTATAGAAGTACCTTGCCTTGCTGAGAATTGAAAAGAAAATTTTATATTCGAGTGCTATTTCTTTTGCAGCACCAAAACTTTATACATAACAAGGTGCTGGTATCCATGGCTGAGAGACCCAGGCAGTTCACATCACAGGACTCAGCAGACAACCCCCAGTACCAGCCAGGTAGTGGTAGACTCACTAGGTGGCTAGATCCAAAAGAGAGATAACAATCACTACAGCTTGGTGCTCAGGAAGCCACATCAATAGGAAAAAGGGGAGAGTACTACATCAAGGCAACACCCCATGGGACAAAATAATCTGAACAACAGCCTTTAGCCCTAGGCCTTCCCTCTGACAGAGTCTACTCAAATGAAAAAGAACCAGAAAACCAACTCTGGTAATATGACAAAATAAGACTCTTTACCACTTGCCAAAAAATCATACTAGCTCACCAGCAATGGGCCCAAACCAAGAAGAAATCCCTGATTTACCTGAAGAATAATTCATGAGGTTAGTTATTAAGCTAATCAGAAAGGCACCAGAGAAAGATAAAGCCCAATGTAAGGAAATCCAAAAAGTGATCCAAGAAGTGAAGGAAGAAATATTCAAGGAAATATATAGTATAAATAAAAAACAATCAAAACTTCAGGAAACAATGGACCCACAGAAATGCAAAATGCTCTGGCAAGTCTCAGCAATAGAACTGAACAAGTAGAAGAAAGAACTTCAGAGCTCAAAGATAAGGTCTTCGAATTAACCCAATCCAACAAAGACAAAGAAAAAAGAATAAGAAAATATGAACAAAGCCTCCAAGAAGTCTGGGATTATGTTAAATGACCAAACTTAAGAATAATTGGTGCTCCTGAGGAAGAAGAGAATTCTAAAAGTATGGAAAACATATTTGGGAGAATCATCAAGGAAAATTTCCCTGGCCTTGTGAGAGACCTAGACAACCAAATACAAGAAGTACAAAGAACACCTGGGAAATTCATCGCAAAAAGATCACCTAGGCATAGTCATCAGGTTATCTAAAGTTAAGGTGAAGGAAAGAATCTTAAGAGTTGTGAAACAGAAGCACCAAGTAACCTGTAAAGGAAAACCTATCAGATTAACAGCAGATGTCTTGCAGAAACCCTACAAGCTAGAAGGGATTGGGGCCCTATCTTCAGCTTCTTCAAAACAATTATCAGCCAAGAATTTTGTATCCAGCAAAACTAAGCTTCATATAAGAAGGAAAGATAGTCTTTTTCACACAAAGAAATGCTGAGAGAATTTGCCACTACCAAGCCACTACTACAAGAACTGCTAAAAGGAGCTCTAAATCTTGAAACAAATCCTGAAAACACATCAAAACAGAACCTCTTTAAAGCATGAATCTCACAGGACATATAAAACAAAAATATAATTTAAAAAACAAAAACAAAAAACCAAGTTATACAGGCAACAAATAACATGATGAATGGAACTGAATACTAACCTTGAATGTAAATAGCCTAAGTGCTCCCCTTAAAAGATACAGAATCGCAGAATGGATAAGAATTCATCAACCAACTATCTGTTGCCTTCAAGAGACTCACCTAAAACATAAGGACTTGCACAAACTTAAGGTGAAGGTGTGGAAAAATGCATTTCATGCAAATGAACACCAAAACAAGCAGGAGTAGCTACTCTTATATCAGACAAAACAAACTTTAAAGCAACAGCATTCA